CCCTACACGACGCTCTTCCAATCTCCCCAAAACCCCAAAACCCCAAATTGATCAAATATAATGATAATGGTTAATATTGATTTAAATAATAAAGAGATTTTAGAGCAAAGTTTTTAACATAAATTATATATGCTAATAATAATAATTCTTTAAGGTTTGAAGTTATGAATTTCATTAGTCTCAGTCGAGGTCTTCAACACCACCTGATCCACCTGGAGCACCACCTGGGGCACCACCTGGGAAACCACCTGGCATACCGCCTGGCATTCCACCTGGCATACCACCTGGCATTCCACCGGCAGCTTGATAGACTCTCATCATGATTGGGTTGTACTTGGCCTCAACTTCCTTTTGCTTGGCTTCAATTTCCTCTGGCTCAGCCATTGGGTTTGACTCAAGCCATTGGAGACCCTCCTTGGAGGCATCCTCAATAACCTTCTTGTCATCTTCAGTGAACTTCTCCTTCAATTTCTCGTCATTGAGGGTGTTCTTCATTTGGAAGCAGTAGTTTTCGAAGCTGTTTTTGGCTTCAATTCTCTTCTTCATCTTTTCGTCTTCTCCCTTGTATTTCTCAGCTTCACTGACCATCTTTTCAATCTCTTCTTTGGAGAGTCTACCCTTGTCGTTAGTGATGGTAATCTTGTTGAGCTTTCCAGTTCCCTTGTCGACGGCTGAAACGTTGAGGATTCCGTTGGCATCAATATCGAAAGTGACTTCGATTTGTGGAACTCCTCTTGGGGCTGGTGGGATACCTTCCAAGTTGAATTTACCGAGAAGATGGTTATCCTTGGTCATGGATCTTTCACCTTCGAAGACTTGAATCAAGACACCTGGTTGGTTGTCAGCATAGGTGGTGAAGATTTGAGACTTCTTGGTTGGGATGGTAGTGTTTCTTGGAATGAGGACAGTCATAACACCTCCAGCGGTCTCAATACCAGTTGAGAGTGGGGTAACATCGAGAAGGAGGAGATCCTTAACGTTGCTGTCTCCCTCACCAGTGAGAATAGCAGCTTGAACAGCAGCACCATAGGCGACGGCCTCATCTGGGTTGATTGATCTGTTGAGGACTTTACCGTTGAAGAAGTCTGAGAGCATTTGTTGAACCTTGGGGATTCTAGTGGAACCTCCGACGAGTACGACTTCGTGAATTTGACCTTTAGCCAAGTTGGCATCCTTAAGGACGTTTTCAACTGGTGGCATACATTTTCTGAAGAGATCCATACAGAGTTCTTCGAACTTGGCTCTTGAGATTTGGGTGTTGAAGTCCTCACCGTCTGAGAGGGTTTCGCACTCAATTGGGGCTTGATGGGCAGCTGAGAGGATTCTCTTGGCCTTCTCGCATTGGGTTCTGAGTCTTCTGAGAGCTCTGGCGTTTCCAGTGATATCAATACCAGTCTTCTTCTTGAATTCAGCAATACAGTAGTCGACGAGTCTGTTGTCGAAGTCTTCTCCTCCCAAATGGGTGTGACCATTGGTTGCCTTGACTTCGAAGATACCCTCTTCAATGGTGAGGAGGGAGACATCGAAAGTACCACCACCGAGATCGAAGATGAGAACGTTCTTCTCTTGGGATGATTTCTTGTCGAGACCATAAGCAATAGCGGCAGCAGTTGGCTCGTTGATGATTCTGAGGACATTCATACCTGAGATGGTACCAGCATCCTTGGTGGCTTGTCTTTGTGAGTCATTGAAATAAGCTGGGACGGTGATAACAGCGTTCTTGATGGTCTTTGAGAGATAAGCCTCAGCAATTTCCTTCATCTTGACCAATACCATAGATGAGATTTCCTCAGCGTGGAATTTCTTGGTCTCTCCCTTGTAGTCGACAACAATGACTGGCTTGTCACCAGCACCTTGCTCGACCTTGAATGGCCAATGCTTCATGTCGTCTTGTACTTGTTTCTCAGAGAATTTTCTTCCAATAAGTCTCTTAGCATCGAAGACGGTGTTCTTTGGGTTTCTGGCAACTTGATTCTTAGCAGCATCACCAATAAGTCTTTCTTCTTCAGTGAAAGCGACGTATGATGGAGTGGTGTTGTTACCTTGATCGTTGGGGATGATTTCTACTTTGTCGTTAGACCACACACCGACGCATGAGTATGTGGTTCCGAGATCTATACCAATAGCAGGTCCTGTTGACATATTTTGAGTTGTAAGTTTGTTATTAAAGTTAATTTTATTACATTTTTCCCAGGCTTATATAATAAGCAATCGTTTCTCGAAACTTCTATTCGAATGTTCATTAAAACCCTGGAATATTCCAGAAAAATCTTAATTTTAACTCACTTTAAAATCAATAAATCCCTAAAAATAAATCGCTTTTAACCTAGGGAAAGTGTACCAGACATGGCCGAGAGGTCTTAGACTCCACTGACTCATACTGCGCAAATTAATTGAGAAGTTCTGGAGAGTTTAAAATAATGATGGAATATACTTCTAGAAATAATCAGAATGTTCAGGAATTTAATCAATTTCGAACACTCCAAACTTATCATCTTGATTCGTGGGGTTTTGGGGTTTTGGGGTTTTGGGGTTTTGGGG